GGGGGGGGCGTGGTGAGGGGCCGGCGGGGGCAGACAGAGCGGGGGAGGGAAGCGGAGAGATAGGCGGGCCTCTGGGGAAATGCGTCTGGCCCCAGTCTGGGGGCTGCTGGCTCCAGCCCTAGGGAGCGCTGTTCCTGCACCAGACCTGGATGCAGAGGAGGAGTTGCCTTGAGTCTGCCCTAATACTCAAGGCCTGACGGAGAGAAGCTGGCACTGGGGAACAGGACATGGGGTCGGGGACGAAGGTCCAAGCACCACGGGCACCACCAGGAGTCCTGAAGGAATCTCCCCAGAACCTTGAAGGCCAAGGACCGGCCAGCACCACCAGGAAGCACGCAGACCGCGGACACAGCAGCCAGGAGGCCGGTTCCCCCGCCCTGGGCTCTGCAGCCAGAGCTCACTCAGAGCCCCGCTGGCCATGAGGCCGGCACTCCCGTTCTACAGATGGGGAGATGGAGCCCGTGCAGGCATGCGGACGGCTGCAGCCCCCTCACAAGGACGCACAGTGAGCCTGCCGTGGGCCCCCAGCTCTGCAGGCTTTGTCTGAATGCTCTGTGCATTCTTTTGCTGTGTCTTTGCTGTGTCACAGTTCTCGTGCTATGCCGTCATGCTCCCAAATGGGCAACTGCACCAGCCCCCGGGAGCCCCGTCCCGCTGAACTGCACCCACCGCTCCTCGCTGCTGAGGGGCTGCGATGGGGGTCTTGCTCCACCCACCAGTTCAGCCTCCCCCCTCCACATCTCCCTTCCCTAAAGGGAAGGCGCCCTAACTCCTCATCCCAGTCAAGAGCTGCGAGGAGACAAGGCTGGTTAAGACACGGGCAGGCCAGGCCCCCAGCGTTCCAGAAATACCCATCCGCTCCATCCAGCCCTCTCTCCAGAGAGCACCTGAGCCCTGGTCACCCGCCCGCTTCTAGGCACACGTGATTCCTTTCAACTGGAACTCAGTTGGCGTGGAGCCAACCCTTTCCCCACCCACCCCTTGAACATCTCATCAGGTTAAACTGTAAAAGTCACTCCTTTCCGCCTGCCTAACGCACACAACGCCTGGGATCACCGTGGACCAAGAAACGCAGTCCCAGCAAAGTGCACAGGAGGGGATGGCAGAGGCACGGCTTTGCAGATCCGGTGGGGCTGCCCGCCCCTCCCCTCACCGCGTGGCCTGGTTCTCTGCGCGCAGAACAGGTGGCCCGCCTCGGACAGACAAGCCAGGACGACGCAGACCTGCAAGGGCCCCCCGGGGTGGCAGGCGGGCCCGTGTCCCATGGGCTCCCGTGACGGTGCGGGTCACGTCCAGGCCCACCTCTACGCAGCAGTGGGCGGGCTCGGTCCTGAGCTGGGGGAGGCCGGGCACAAGTAGTAGCAGAGACCCAGGATCCTGATGTGGTGGCGGGGGCTTTCCTTTGGGAAACAGGACAAACAGCCTGTCAGTGACATGCCTGGGGACACCCGAGCACCTGCACCTTTGCCACCTCTAACGCGCTGACCGTCAAGGTCGAGGCACGACTCACACCAGGGCCCGGGCCACTCTCCTGCAGTCAGGGCAGCCTCAGGAGGGCGGGCGGCCCCAGTGGCTGTGAGCAGGGCTGCCTTGGGGCACCCCGTCAGCCCGACACCTGCACTCAGCCTCTTCCCACGCGGGGCCCAGCCCTCCAGCCCTCCGGTTCGCCAGGCCAACCTCACATGCTCTTCAAGGTCAGGAAGCCACCCCATTCCCAAGCAGCCAGCTCCTGTCCCCAGGAGTCGTCGCACAGCACCCTTCCTGCTGGCCAGCGTGGCTCACCACCCCATAGACTTTCTGGGACATGCCGGACTGCTCCCCACCCCAGGAAGGGCACGCCACGTCTGAGTGACCCTGCGGCTTTGATCCGTAGGCGGGGCCGCACCTCCCCTACACTCTCCCCATCTTCACACTCAGGCTGCCTTCACTGGACCGAGCGCCCAGGGATAAGATGAGGGTCCACAGCGGGGGGCTGACCCCTCCCCTGGCACAGAGGCCCTCGGCAGAGGGCTCACCCTCCGAAACTCATCAGGCTCCCCTCTGCGCACCCCCAGCTTGGCTCTGCAGCGTTCTCAGCCGTCTCCAGGCCCCGGGCCCCTGAGGCCTGCTGTTCATCTCTCTGTGTCCCCAACAAGCCCGTGCCTGGGGCTGCAAGGTGCTCAGTATGAGGCCACTGAGCGGGCAGGGGGCGTGAGCGAGTGAACGGACCATACACCCGACGGGCAGGTGCGGAGCGGCAGCACTGCCATCAGATTCAAAGGCACGTAAGAGGCCGTGGGTGGAGCTGCCCCAAACAGCCTCAGCCGGGGGGCCCGGCTACTGCATCTGACACAGACTTGGGGCAGCTGCCACAGGAAAGGGAAGTCACCGCGGGGCGGGGCAGAATCCCCACTGGTGGGCTCAGGGCAGGAGGCCTCGGAAGAACAAGGTGTGAACTGTGAGGAAGGCGGTGGGTGCTCCTGGCGAGCCTCAACAGTGACCCCGACTACCCAGGGTGGCCGCTTTCCAAGGCAGGACCAGGGCAGCCAGCTGGTGTCGTCCAGGCTGCGAGGCTCTCAGGTAGACGAGGTCCACCGCGTTCTGGGGAGGGCTTCCCAAAGAACAGCTGTCCTCAGCTGCCCCCTCCACACACGCAGGACTGGGCACATAATCACAGCCCATCAGTGACAGATGAGTCCTCGGTGACCATCTTGAGACGCGGTCCCTCCCGAGCCCGGCTCCTCCTCAGGGCGGCTGGCACAGCCCAGGACAGACTCGAGAAGTTTAGATTCTAATTTTTGCCTTATTTCAATCTCAACTCTCCTGGCTTTTGTTAACAAGATGGAGAGACCAAAAAAGATGCTTCCCATTGCTTTTACTGTTCCAGGTTATAAAACCTTCCCTGTAAACACTGAAAGCCAGCGCCTGGAGGTCCCCATCAGGGAGCACCTGCGTCACCTGAGCAGCAGTCTCCCAGCCAAAGCGAGGAAAGAAAACGGAGGAGGAAGGCTGGGGGAGCTCGCCTGGAAGGGGCAGGAGTGACCGGATAGGACAGGCCCCCGCAGAGACCGGGGCGGCTGTGGGAGGGCCCAGGTAGGAGGGGCTCGTGCTTGTGTCCCAGGTGCAGTCTGCAGGCTCACAGGTGAACTCTGGACCCATCTGGCCCTGCCCGAGAGGACCTGAGACCCTCACGGCCAAAGGGGGGCCTCCCCAGGCCCAGGGAGAGGCAGAGGACGCAGTGGGATCAGAAGGCCTGCTGCGATTCCAGAGCCCAGAGGTGCCCAAAGCCCCGTGAGGCCAGCCCCGGAACAGCGGGTCATTGCTTCCCAAAGAAAAAGACTGCTATTTATGCACGACGTGTCTACTTTACACCCACAAGCCCCAGGGCTCCCCCATCAGAAACCTGAACACGCGCACGGGCAGGCGCCCTGAAGGAACGCGAGCCTGCAGCGAGTCACCCCCGACCCGAGGGCACCCGGCAGGCCTGACCCCGGCCAGCCATGGCCCTCTGCAACCAGCCCCGGGCACGTCTCCTGAGAAGGGGGGGGCTGGGGAGCAGGGAGGACGGGCATGAACACACAGCGTGTAACAGAATAGAACCAACCTGACTCCACACCAGATCTATTCTGTTAGCTTTAACCCTGTGCCCTGTCTTCTAGGCTCAGTCTCGCTGGCTCTGCGCCTTCTGCGAAACAGCGTTGCCTTTAGCCTGAAATGCACAGGAGAGCCTATTCTCCAGGCTCAGACCTTTGAGGATATTAGCACTTCTCCATTCACATGAAGATAACAAGTTGCAGAACAGAGGACATCTGTCTTGCTGGGGGCTTACAGGGACACCAGGACCTGGCCCACGTGGACAGCTGCAAGGACAAAGGGCTCTGACACCAAGCAGCTTGCAACGACCAACCACGCCGCCCCCCTTTCTCACTGTAAAAGGAGCCTGGATTCTGACGTGGAGAAGGTGGTTCTCCAGGACATCAGGCCCCATCTTCTCCGCCTGCCGGCTTTCTGAATAAACTTGCTATTCCTCGCCCCAGCACCTCATCTCCCAGTCTGACTGGCCTGTCGTGCGGCGAGGCTGGACTCAGTAACCAACTAAGGTTAGGAGGCTGTCACGACGGAGATGCGTGATGGGGACACTGAGTCAGCCCCGAAGGGCGCTGTTGGTAAAGGGGGAGCGGCTTCCACTAAAAACCAAGGAACTGCATTCACCTTCCCATCTGAACAAACTTCTCAGTTGTAGGGCGTCTTCAGCGTCTTTTCTAGGTACTCGGCCGGGATCGGGTTGTTGCACTGAAGGCTGGTGACAGGCAGCCAGACTTTAAAGCCATCGTGAACCTTTGAAGCAGTTTTTGGATGGACAGGGGAACTGTTACGTGAGAGCTGCGAATTGCTGCCCTTCTAAGGTCGCACTACTAGGCGGGGGGTCTCCTCTGCACGCGCACTTCAGGAAGCCCGAGCTGGCAGGGCAGCCACCAGGAGGCTTCCTGAGGTCCTGGGGAAACGGCCCGGGGGGCTGAGGGCCCGCAGTCGGGGTCACAGGCCTGGGGTCTAAGATTCCCAGCCAAAGGGGGGCAATTAATGCTGCTTTACGCCCGGGCGTGGGGATGCCCTCCAGGAATACATGGAATCTCATGGGGGAATCTCATGGGTCCCGTCCAGGAATACCAGCTTTGGAAAAGAACACTTAGGGAACACGCTGGTGACACTTAGATGCTCTCCCCCCAAACGCAGGGGCCTGAAGTTCTTTCACAGAAAGCACAGGAAACCGGAAGAGCAAAGCCACCTCTCAAGTGCCTGGGGGAACTTGAAGGGGTGACGCGTGGCCTGGAAAGCTCCCCTGGGGAGCACGGAAGGGAAAGGGAGGAGGGAGCCCGGAGACGAAGCTCCTCACCCGGCGCGTCTCCGGCGGCTCGGTCCTGCCGGGGCCTCGGAGCAGCCCAGGCTCTGCGTTACCATCACCGTCACCCAGGTGAGCTGAGGGGCCGCTCCACACGCCTCCCGCGCTCTCCGGACACCTGCCCCCGTCTGCACTGCTCTGAGGCAGAGGCAGTCCCAGGGCTCCACCTCCTCCGGCGGACTCTTAGCAGACGGACGTTTCCACTTAATCTTCAGGGAAGAACGGCCCCGGGACCTGAAATCATTAGAGGCATTAGCCGCATGCTGCAAAGCGCGTCCCTGGCTCCCTCCCGTGCCTCCAAGGCCCTCGACAGGCCGGTCTCACCCAGGAGCCGCCCGAGGAGCTGCAGACACGCCAGGACAGTGAGCCGGGGCCCGGGCAGCCCAGACACGCCGCCGCCCGTCTGTGGAGGGGGAGGAGTGTCACAGGGAGCGTGACCACACCGGGTCCACACGGCACCGCCGCCCCTCCCCTCCCGAGAGTCCCCTGGGCCCGAGGGGCCGGGTGCTGGCTGAGAGAAGGTGGCAGCAGGTGGGGGTGCTGGGGGGTCAGCAGGGAGGGCTGGACGGGGACCACAGAGCGGCTGTGTCCGCGGTGAGGACAACCACACCTCCAGGCTACTGAAACCACCCTCCCAGGAGGCGCCCAGGGAGCAGGGGTCTCAGACGGGGTGCCCTGCACACACCGGGCCTCTCCACGCCCCCCAGGCCGGGAGACCCCGCGAGCTGGGAGGGGACATGAGATCCATTCCCTAGGGCTCCTGCCTGACCCGGGGGGACAGACAAGCCAGTTAAACTGCTGCTTCACGTGGGGCAACGCCCTTCATCGTGACGCCTTTCCAACTAGATGCCTGACAAGTAAGGCGTCCCCGACGCCAAGGCCGACAGGGCCTGTCTCCCGCCTCCGTCACCGCCGCTCACTGGCCCAGAGCCAGCGCCCCCCTCGGCACGGGTCTCAGTCCAACACCGAGGACCCAAGGCGGAGAGGCCCCACCACTCACAGCTGGAGGACCAGCCAGGGGAGGCCAGCTCCAGCCGCTGACCGTCCACGGGGAAGGACGCCCGAGCAGACGCGGCCGCCCCGTCCAGCCCTCACCCCGGAAAACCTTGTGTGCAGCCGGGTTACCCCCCGACCACGGCTGCTAAAACCTCTGAACTTCAGGCCGCGAGGCTGAAAACAAGAGGGGCCGAGTGTCTCGGGTTTTGCAGAACTACAGGAGGGTGCGGGCGCTTGCCAGGCAGCACTCATGTCCCAGCGCTCCGTCCCGCAGGAGTGGTCGTGCAGGAGGGTCTCCGCTGGGTCCAGCATCACACATCTGTTTATAAACGACAGGAAGAGAGACAGTTTCACTTTCAAAACGATTCTGTTCACGAGTTCAGACGCTGCCAACGTGGGAGGGCCCTGAGCCTGGGAACACTCAGGGCTGAATCCCGAGATCGTGCAAACCTTGTCGGGTCACCTGGGGGCATTTGGGCAAATCAAGGCTGACTCTCTAAGAGGCAGCTGTATGAGGCGCCACACGACTCTGAGGGCTTTTAATTCCTAAATGATTCTAAGCATTCACAGGGTCTCTCCTGTCCCAGCCACTGACCTGGGCGAGCTCACAGGCTCCCTGTGCCCATTAGTGCAAACGAACGCAAACCTACAAACAAACAAACAAAAGGAGCGAACAGAACCCAGCAGGGTATTGAAAGAGTCACAGACGTGACAAAGGGACTTCATACCAGGAAGGCAGGGGCGGTTCGGTGTTCCAACATCTGTGACTTAGCTCACCACGGTACTGGGGAAAGGGCAAACCTGTAAGACCGTGGATACCACAGAGGAGGAAAGGTCAGCATTTACTCCTGTTTGTAAAAATCGCCTGAATGAAACAGAGCCTAGGTTCTCCTTCCCATGTTGCTTCTCCAGCCAGAAGCCGGCCCCGTCCTCAGCGAAGGCCCAGTCCCCTCCTCGCACAACGAGGCTGCCCGCTATGGAATAATCAGCACCCTGGGAAATCGGAACCTGCAGGAGGGACGCTCCAGAGCCAGCCACGTCCCCGCAGGCCTGGGTGACCCGGGGGCTCAACGCATCCGGAGAGAGGCCGGCTCCCAGAGTGTTGACGGGGAAGTGGGCGGGGTGCCCAGGGCGCCCACACTTACCCCAAACAAACCCTCAGGGGCTCGGAGATAAACATGAAAACTGAAACTGTAAAAGCAGAATGGGTAGTGGTGTGAGAGAATTTTTAAGAATACCGGGGTGGTAAAGATTAGACAAAAAAATAAACCTAGAAGCCTTTAAAGAACACACAGGTTAATGAACTTAAATATATAAAAACTTAAAACTCCTGCAGAGAAAGAAATTGGCAAAAGATTTAAAAAGATGCATCACAGAAAATCATTTCAAGAGAGACTTTAAAGCTGATTCTACTCCGACATCAAGAAACGTACATTAACAGACCAGAGAGCCACTTGTCCCTCATCACAGCTCTCGGGCCTGGTGGCTGTCCGGGGACGATGGCTCGATGGTCGCCACACAAAGCACACTTCACCCCCATGGACCCAGCCTCCGTCCTGGGTGAGCCTCCATTTTACTTCCAAAATTGTGCAAAAATGGTTCCTGTCTGTAAAATCCTAGGACCGGTCAAAGGCCACCCCGGCGGGCAGGCTCAATGAGTGCTCTGACAGGGGGGCAGAGACCACTGCAAAAGGACATGGTGACCTCGGCGGTGACCTCCCGGGGCCTCAACCCCCAAGGGCATCACGCAGTGGGAAAGGGGCAAACAGTGGGAAGACCACGCAGAGAACCCTAAGTGGGCAACTCCACTGGTATGTTAAAGAGGGAGACGAACACCGGCATTGGCTGGGAGCAGGAAAGTTCTGGAAAGCAGCGGGGTGGCTGAAAGAGCAGTGGCCGCGGGGGCCAGGGTGGGAACAGGGGCTGCTCCTCAGAGGCGGTTTCACCACGAGACGCAGCGTCACCTGCAGAGATGCGCCTTCCACCCCGCGTCCGGCTGAGCGGCTGTCCTAGGACAGACCTGGCCACCCAACCCGAGTCCGGGTGCCCCACGGGCAGCTCTAACTCTGAAAGGCACATGCACCGCAGTGTTCACGGCTGCACCGTTTACAACGGCCAAGACACGGAAGCAACCTAAGTGGCCATCGACAGACAACCGGATAAAGAAGACGTGGTATTTACATACAACAGACTATTACTCAGTCATAAAAAGGAATGAATTCATGCCATTTACAGCGACACGGATGGACCTAGAGATTATCATACTAAGTGAAGTAAGTCAGAGAAAGAAACATCATATGATACCACTTACATGTGGAATTCTTTCAAAATGATACAAATGAACTCATCTACGAAACAAAAACAGACTCACAGACTTAGAAAACAAACTTACAGTTACCGAACCAGAAAGAAGAGGGGATAAATAAGGAGTTTCGGATTAACAGATACAAACTACCATATGCAAAATAGAAAAACAACACTGTATAACACAGGAAACAATATCCAATATCTTGCAACCAATAATGGAAAAGAATCTGAAAAAGAATAGACTGTTTATACGTACTACAATCACTATGCTGTACACCTGAAACCAACACAACATTGTAAATCACCCAGACTTCGATTAAAAAAAACCAATTATAAGCTCTAAATACCTTTATTCAAAGAAACTCTTCAACCCTTTCCTCTTTAAAAAATTAAAATGACAAGCTTGAGCAGGGCCAAATTAAACTGGATGCGTGGTTACACGTCTCAGCCAGCATGTGGTCCGTGCGACACACGCGCTGTGCTTTCCTTCAGGTGGGAACGGCCCTGTCTGCACAGGGAGCGAGTCCTGCTGGGACAAGGCCAGCCTCTGCAGCAGCGGCCTCCTCGTCACTGCTCCATCTCAGCCAGGAAGCCAGGGTTTTCAGAGGGGAGGGGACACAGAGCTCAGACACTTCAGATCTATTTCCTGAGAAAAACTACGCAAAGACCAAGATCACCGGACGTGCAGGAGACACGAGCAGGGCCCTCGCGCAGAGCAAAGGCTAAGCCAACAGGCCCGAAGCAAGACGGCCCGACGTTCACACCAGAACCAGAACAACGATCATCTGGCCCCAGTCAGACGACCACCACCTCACCTGCAGTCAACTGCCTGTACTCAGTGACGGGGATGCTTCCGTTCAGACTCGAAGATCAAAAAAGTCCGACCAGGGAATTCGGACCTGGTGGGTGTCAGGCCTCTGGGGCAGCACCAGCGCCCACTCCTCCACCTTCAGCAGGGTATTCAGGAGGGAGGGGATGTCGGTGTAGACGTCCCTGCGGAGGCTGAAGCCCTGGGTGGGAGGGGTTGACATCGCACAGAAGGTACCTGGAAGGGAGCACAGGAGAGCAGTCCTTCAGGGCCAGGCCTCTGCACAAGATACCTGGCTCCCTCCCCCACAGCCCTTGGCCCAGACTCCAAGCAAGTTCAACAGCTTCTGGTTTGTAAAGTGGAGGCACTGCCCACCCATCTCCAGGTGGCCCATTACTCAAAGAGCCTGAGAGCAGATGCAGAAAACATCTTGGCATCTGTTTAACACCAGCTAAGCACCTGACTAGCACCTGAGCACCTGTTCTCCAGGGGCTCTCAAACTTCTTGCTCTACAGACCCCTGTGCACTCTTAACAATTAGTGAGGAATGCAAAAGGCTGCTGTTTACGTCGGTTAAATCTATCAAGTTTCTCTGTTAGAAGTTCAAGTTAAAGTACGTTAAAAATATTTATGAACTCACTTAACAATAATAACCAATTATGTTATTAGTACTGTTAAAAAATTAAGTATATTTTTCAAAACAAAAATCATTAGCGACAAGAGTAGCAGTGATTGTCATTTTTGCAGATCGTTTTTTGACTGGTGAGAGCTGGATTCTCCTATCTGCCTTTGCATTCCCTGTTTTGCGGTATCACAGGCCAGGTGGTCTCTGGAAAGACCCACAGTAAGAGTGGGAGATCGCATAAGGCAAGTGACATCCCGGCGTTTCTATGAAAACGGTCTGGCACCTCAGGGACCCTCGGACACACTTTGAGAACCGCTGCCCTATCTATCCTAGGCATGACTCCCCCACACAAGAGCCAGGCAAGGGTCCCGACTTCTGTCATGATTTACCGCCGTCACTTCCCTCCCTTCTCTGTTAAGTTTTCCCACCACCTCCCTGACTGCAGGTGAGAATAGACTCCTCCGCTGGGGCCTCTAATCCCTGAAGACTGCCAGCCCCGAGAGGAAGGGGCCCTGTACCATCCCTACACCCCACACACCCTGTTTTGGGTCAAGCCCCGAGTAACCGCTGAACTGCACTGACTCTTGCTTATTCCTGAGGTTTCCCGAAGGAACCAACATCTGGATGGAACTGAAATTTCGCTGCAGACACACAAGGCTGATAAACCACCCCATTGCAACATGTGATTCTGGGGCTCTTCCAGCCCCGGGCAAGGCCCCGCTTCATCTAAGAGGGAACCCCAGCCTGCCCTTCCCGGGGGCTCTGGGAGGCCGCGACAGCCTAGGGCGACCCCGGCTCGCCCCTCCACCCAGCCCCGGCGTCCGAGGCCGAGGGGACCCCGAGGCTCTGCCCCGGCCCCCCGCCCCTCGGTCCCCC